TAATAAAAATTCATTTATATTTATATGGGAGGAAGTGGATATTAGTGTAAATGATAACCATCCACTACTGACATCACCATTAAACACCACCAATAAACTTCATAACTTCAATCCTGAAGACTTCTTTTTTGGCCATGTGTCCTACGTTGAACTCTTTCCTCTATCCTAAAATCCCACACCAATGATTATGGTCCTGGCAATATTCCAGTACAACTGATCAAAATAAAAAAACTAATAAAAAATGGATGATATCCTACCAGTATTGATTCAAAAAGGACTCTCTATAATTAAACCCTACCTTTTAGAGCTTTTAAGGGGCAGCTTAATGTTTGGCTACCTTCCATCTAGTTGGAGAGGATCCAAACTACAGTTTATACCAAAATCTGGGAAGGGAACGTATGATGATCCCAAGTCTTTCAGGCCGATATGTATGTCATTTTTCCTAATGAAGACTTTGAAAAAGATTTTGGACAGGCATATAAGAGATTGTTGACTTCAAATCTATTCGCTTATCAACCTGGTAAATGAAGTGAAGCGGCATTACAGAATCTGGTATCAAGGACCGAGAAATTCATGAGTCAAAAGGAAATAATGATTGGCACCTTTGTAGACATTGAAGGTGCCTTAGATAGGACTTCTTACAATATCATTATGGATATCTTAAGGACTAAAAAAATACAACTGCATGTTACCAAATGGATTGGTAGCATGATGGAAACTAACTAACTCCCCGGCGCTACAGGCCAGCATGACCCTTGGCCTCCTGAGTTATTTTTCTCCACTTCTCTCTGTCCTGTGCTACTCTCTTCCAATTGCGAACTCCTAGCTTCTTCGCATCTCTCTCCACTTCATCCTTCCATCTGCTTCTCGGTCTTCCTCTTTTCCTCTTCCCACTGAAGTGTGCTTCCAATATTTTTCTCTGCACCCGTTCATTCTCCATTCTGATTACATGTCCTGCCCATCTAAGCCTACTTGCCTTGATATAGTTAGTAATGTTTTGATTCTCTAATATAGCCTCGATTTCATTGTTACTTTTGATTTTCCACTCACCATTAACACTTGTAGCACTGTAAATCCTTATTATTTTCCTTTTGATTACTTTTAGTTTACGGTAATCCTCTTGCAATAAACACCAGGTTTCCGCTCTATAGGTGACTACTGGTCTAATAACCGTTTTATACAGCTTTATTTTTGTGGCTTTTGATAACAATGGAGACTTGAGAAGTTTTAGGTTTGCATAGTAAGCTCTATTACCAGCCATTATTCTGTTGTCTATTTCTCTGCTGATTACATTTTCATTATTTAAGGCAGAACCAAGATACACGAATGTGGGTACATTTTCGTACTTAAAAATTCTTTATTCTTATTTCACTACAGGAACTTCTCTTTGCTTCTTGCTTTGACCACAATTCCTACTTTTTTGCCATTTTTATATATAATCTCCAATGCCTCTTTATGCGCTTTTTCACTTTGTGCAGCTATCACCAGGTCATCAGCGTAAGCACAAATTTATCAGGTCATATCATCAACGATGGTGCCTTTTTTATGTTTATGTTGGAAACTAGAATTCTTAAAACAGAACTCGGACACACTGAAATGTGGATTAAGACTGCAGAGGGTTGTCCACAGGGAGGTGTGTTATCACCAATACTGTGGTCTTTGTTAGTGGACTCCCTGCTTGTTACACTGAATACTGCAGGGCACTAGCGTATCCAGGATTTAATTTTGGGGGAGGGATTCAGCCCGAAAGATTTTTTTTCATATAAATAACGTTAATTACTTTGGAAAAAAAGAAAGAACTACCTATATGAAATGGTGTTTAAGTGATTCCTAAGGTCCTTTTAAATGTAATTAAATGAACAATAATACTTTAAGAGATAATTTTTAATATTTTTTTTCCATAAAACATGGTTATATTGTACCATTTTGAGGGTGCTTCAGCCCCAAATCCCCCTCCCCCCGTAGATCCGCCCGTGCATGATCCACTAGTGAAAAAACAACCATTAAGCTGAACATGAAGCAACATACAAATTAATTTTTGATTGGACCGTATTTAAGGCATGAGGGAGGCATATACACTGACAGGCAAAAAATTCCACCCACTTGATTTTTTCATCTAAAAATATTTCTGCTTTGGATTGGTCTATTGTTTTTAATGAATAAATAGGTAATCTTTTTGTTTGTTTTCAATTAGGAATGTTAATATAGAGGACAATAACCCGTAATTCTTAATTCAATGAAATGATTCTAGATTCCAATGTTTACTACTTTCTATGGAATCAAAATGTTTAGTCAGTATCATTAGTTCAGTGCCGTTTCTTGCAGCACATTTCTTAGTCTCCGGCTTTTAATTTTTTCAATATTAAGTTTAAAAATGCCTCTTAGTGTTGAGGATGTTGCGAGTGGTGTGGCACTTATTAATAATGGACGTTCCATTAGCTATGCAACTAATGCCATCGGAGTTCCATATGAAACTTTACAAGACGCCGTCAGGCGTTTTCAGGAAACTGGTTCTTACAATAGAAGGCCCAGTTCTGGACGGCCTAGGGTAACAGAACCACGGGATGACCGGTTTTTGACTTTAAGAATTTAATGAAACCGGCACCTTACCGTTGTTCAAGCGATTTATCAGCTCGAAGAAGTTTGAGGTGTGCAAATTTCTGAATGTACCGCTCGGAGAAGATTAAATGAGTATGGATTAATGGCTTTTGGTCCAGTAAGAGGACCAGAGTTGACCAGAACTCACAGAGTAACACGGCTGGCTTTTGCTCGAGAACACAGCCATTGAACTATGGACAAATGGAGTGCTGTACTTTTTACAGATGAGTCAAGATTCGCTCTTCGATCTCCAGACAGGCGTGAAAGGGTGTGGAGAAGAAGAAACGAAAGATATGCAGCCTGTAATTTTTCCCAGAGCCAACCTTTCCAACGTGGTTCCTTAATGGTGTGGGCTGGGATTTCAATGGAGCACTGCACAGAATTGGTTATTGTTCATGGAGGGTTTTTGACGGCCATTCGCTATGTAGATAAGATTTTGAAACCTTATGTGTTGCCTATCCTCAACGAAATCGGCGATCGTTCTATTCTAATGCACGATAATAGAAGTCGCCCGCATAGTGCAGACGTTCCTTCAACAGAACAATATTGAGGTTTTAGCCTGGCCAGCACGTTCTCCAGATTTGAACCTCTTTGAGCATTTATGGGATAACCTCGGAAGACGAATAAGAGCGAGTGCAACACTTCCTGATACACTGCAGGACGTTGAAAGGGCTCTTCGGGAGAAATGGGCTATCCTCCAGGAAAGGGACATTTCCCGACTGTTGGAAAGTATGCAAGTAGTGAAGGCAAGAGGAGGAAATACGCGCTACTAAATGATGATGTAATTAATTTCTTTTAGAATAATAATGGTTTGTTTTTCAATTTTTTTATCTCTAACCCAATCGAATAATATAATAATAATAATCACATTTTGATTATTAAAGGTAAAAAAGATTATAAAATTCCATAAACACTAAGTATTATCTACAAATACCATGTATTATATACAAATACAACTTTTTTTACAAGTGGGTAAAATATTTTTAGATGAAAACATGAAAAAATCAAGTGGGCGGAATTTTTTGCCTGTCAGTGTATAATGTAAAAACGAAATCACTCACCATTTCCAATGGCATAAGGCAATTTCTTACATACAGTAGGCAGGGCCCTGTCACAAATGTCTTTCCTTCCATGCATCAAGCTGCAAAATGGGACAATCTAAAGTTCTGAGGTTATCTGCGTTTTTGCAACCTATCGCTAGATAGCCTGCAAGTGCGTAATCACAAAACAGTGGCAGATGCTATGAGTGGAATACGCCTTTAATTCCATTTGTTTTAACAGTCGCTTAACCCTCACATATTAACGTGTCTACATGAGGTACATAGGAAATTTAATGCTCTTTCAAATTGATTATAATAAATTTCTTCTAGATATGCATAGATTTTGAGTTTTGGTAGAAATTAACAGACAAAAACAAATATTTCTTGTGAAATAAATAGTCAACATTCTCTATCTCCTCAACCGTTGGGCCTACATCAAAAAATTATTAATAAAACTTATAGTAAATTTTTATCTTTTTTAACTTTCTATATAATAATAATTTTGATAAAGTGTATAGTTTCCAAGTCATGTTTAAAAAACTAAAAAAAGTTTGGAAAGCTCGTTTTTTTTTTGCATACATCTCGGAACGTAATGGAAAATTTCATTTGGGAACATCAAATTCTGATTTAGCATCCCAAAAAACATCAAAAAAACCTAAGGGAAACCGACTATTTGAATTTTTATCTCATACAACTACCATCCGACTGGCCTAGTTTGATGGCTTTGACATTGTCAGTTTTTAAAATGCAACCAAGTACATCGTCAGTAAAGGTGAATTCTCTTTTAGGGACCTATTCTTGACATCATATCAAAATTTCAGCCATATGTTATTCCGTTAACTGAACCGTCAAATTTTGCATCTTTAATTTAAATTTTCACATAAACAGCAACTGCTTTCAACAGACTGACCGAAGTTGTGTGTTCAGATGAGGTTTATCAAGAATCTAAAATGGTTACTAGCTTTAAGCCCTTCTGTTAAATGAAATGGACAGTAGCTCCTAGTCTAGGCCAACAGAAATATCTTTAAAAAATATCTTAAACAGTATTTATATGTTGATCTGTTTATTGCTAAATAATGCAATCGTTAGCCGTTAAAAATTACTTGCTTGTTACTTATCATAAATTAAAGAAAGTAACTGGATGTTGTGTTGTAAAATTATGACCCAGTTAATCCATAGCACCTTACTAGATTTCGATGTTTGAGAAACATCCCCAAACATCACTTTACCACACCCTTAATTTAATAGTGAAATAATAAAACTGTGATACACTAATTAGGAACTGTAATAATGTATTAAGAGAAAATTGGTAAAAAATTTGTAAATATTACTAAAACCAGATTATAACTATCATAATCATACCTGGTTCCATAGCACACCTCTGTACACCAGCAGCTTGTTTTAAAAAAAATGTTGTGGGTGGTTTGTGTATGACTAAATTATAACTTCTGTCTGGGTTAACAGAGATACGTGTTGGTAGAGGAATACCTTCTTTAAAATCCTTTGTTTTTTCATTAAAATCTTTACAAAAGGCAGCAATGTTCAAACCAACCTAAAACATTAAATAAATAATTATTTTTAGACTAAGAATGATTTTAATAAATTTGAATTAAAAGTTATTATTCAATCAGTTATTGGGGAGCTAATGGGTAGGGTAACAGGAGGTCTAGAGAGGGAGATGGGTGCGGGAATCTCCCCAACTCTTTACGGAATGATCGAGTGTAGTGCCCTACCCACTGCTTGTGAGTTCCCAGATCTCCTTATCCCTATTAATGCCTACTGTCACCTCCATGTGGCGCCTCCCGGGGAGTCCAATGGGACTCGCGGATGACAGAGGCGGGGTTCATTGCTTCCATCCATATGTATGCGGATGATATATGTGTGATGGAACTGACGAACCTGTTAGGCACCCAAGCTAGGTCAGGGCGCACGAGCTGAGGCTGAGTGGCAGAGGGTGGGATACTGTTTTTTATCGACTCACTTGGGGAACCGGGCGACACCCCATTTCAAGTAGCCGGCTGCAGGGAGAGGGGGTAGTACCTGTAGTTCCATTGACCCCCGTACTCGTGGGAACAAAAATGTCCAAACAAAATAAACAAATCAAAAATAGTAAATCGTCGGTATCCGAGGAGGACTTGTCCTCTGAGGAGCTTTTAAACTTATCAGAGGTTACCGATAAGATAGATGAATCTCTGGTAGGGGAATTACTGAAAACCCTAACAGAGGATGTAGGAACACTCCACGTCCAAACGGAATTAAAGGAGAAAGAACTAATGGAGGTGGCTAGTGCTATAGTGCAGGCCCCAGTAGAAAATATGGATGTGGATGAACTTAAAAAGCCAGAAATGGTTATGATGGGAAGCACCCTATCGCATTCTGGACTCGACCAGACGGAGAGCGGGGACCACCAGCCCAAAGACTCGAGGCCTGCCACGTCGAGGACGATAAGGAATGCGAAGGTGCAATAGGAGGAGGGCAAAGGCCCAATATCTATTAAACCCACAAGAAGAGAATAGGACACCTGTAGAGAAATCTGCCAAGGAAGCAAGGGCCCCAAAAGGCCTGGCGGACAAGGTGGTGAGTCTTGAAAGGGAGGCCTTAGATTAAGGGCAAACAACCAGCGAATTGGAGCCTACTCAAAGGCAGGTAATGGAGGATGCAAAGGCCCCAAAAGGCCTGGCTAACGAAGCTACCGCGCCAGAGGGGAAAGCTCCAATACCACAGACAGGGGATGAGAAAGACACACCCAAGAGGCCAGCATCTAAGTTTGCGAGGCCATACCGGCCAGCAGCTAAGAATGCGAGGTCCAGATCCAGACTGCCTGTGGAAAAAACAGCCAGGAAATCCCTAGGAGCCTCAGCTATAGCAGCTAAGAAACCGAGGGAGGCTGAAAGGCCTAGAAACTACGCAAAGGTTCCACAAGGACAGTTGGGCGCGGTAGTTCCTGTCGACTACCCGCAGATCCAGCTTACCTATGACCAATGTGAAGAACTCAAGGAAGCAATCGCCAGTAAAATTGACGAATCAACAATAGGAAGAGACATTCATCTAAAGTTCGACGGGGCGCTTTTCAAGCTCGGTGGATGTCTTGTATCCTGTCTAGATAACCATACAGTGGAATGGTTCAAAAACATTACACTGAGCATCACAATCAAGACCTAACCCTACGAGCTTGTGAGGCAGGTGATTTAACTATAATCATCAGGATTGGAGCCTTCTTTCCAGGAAAGGCCCTACCTGCTGATTATTACTTAAACCGGCTCCAGATTCAAAACCAATCTATTACTGGAATCAACAAATGGACCGTGTTTAACTTCAAGGCTCTAGAAAGAGGATCCTTTGGAGTATTTAACATACCGGAGACTAGCCTCCAGAGCCTCACTTCACATGGAATGCAGGCCTGCTGTGGGATATACGTTATTACCATCAGGCACTTGGCGTCAGGAAGTAAGCCTGCTCCGGAGGAAATGCAGGAGGAGGCGCCGAAAGCAGGCACATCTAAGGAGAGGGAGAACAGGGAATCTTCCTCTTCTAGAAGGAGTGCGTCGAGGACGGGGTCAAGGCCGTCGGCCGGGTCAGGAGGGCTAAGCCAAAGGAACCAGTGAAAACTGGTTACAGAGGCGAATCCCGGCCACTGCCACGGTCTGATGGCCAGACCTCTGTCTCGCCGCACTCCTCTAATACTGGTGGAGGTTCGAAAGCGAGGTCGAGCGGCGGGGAGAAACCAAAAGACAAGGTGAAAACTGATTCTGATGGAGGAACCCTACCATCGGCCCCGTCTGGAAAACCACCTTCCAGAAAATAAATATTCAATTTAACTATGAAACTGCTGCAGATCAATATCCACCACTGCATTGCAGCATGTGGTGTATTGCAACAGTATATAAAAGGTAAGGATATTGATGTAATCTTAATTCTTGAACCTTACCTATATGATCAAGGGATCAAAGGATCAAAGGACTTAATATGCATGGGTATGGAATAATATCTGCACCCACATATCCTAGAGCCTGCCTTCTTTATAAAAATAAACTAAAACTGCTGCCTCTATGGCAATTCTGTTCTAGAGATCTTGCAGCAGCTAAGTATACCCAACAAGGGTATAATAGATCAATAATCATAGCGGCGGTCTATCAGCCATATGAACATCCAAAACCTGCAGAAGGAATGGATGAACTACTAAGGTGCAAAGAGGAAATTGTGGCTGCCCTGGATACTAACGCACATAATGAGATCTGGGGAAGCACAAATACCAACTCTAGAGGTGAGAAACTCTTAGAGACTATAATCAAATATGATCTTGATATTCTGAACAGGGGGAACTAACCTACCTTTTGTAATAGAATTAGGACGGAGATCATAGACATAACACGAGCGACTCGATTGACTAGTGTCCTTATAGATAACTGACATGTCTCTGATGAAGAAATATACTCGGATCACAGGTATAACAGATTAGATATATTTGACAGAATACAACATGATGTGGAATATAGAGATCCCAAATGTACAGACTGGGTGTCCTATAGTTCTAACTTGGCGGCGGCTGTTAAATGCTGTCCCAAAGTTATCCACAATATATGGCAACTAGAATGTTTAAATACTTCAATTACTGATGCTATGACTAGAGCATATCTGGCCAGTAATGAAGCCAAAAAAAACTACGACCAACAGGAAAGTGTCCTGGTGGAATGATAGTCTAACAAAACGAAGAACACTCATAAGGAGATTGTTCAATGCTGCTAAAACATCTGGCAATTGGGATACTTACAGGAAATCTCTTACTGAGTATCACAAATCTGTCAGGAAAGCCAAAAGACAAGCCTGGAAAAGGTTTTGTCTGGAGGTTGACAACATGCCGGCGGTACGTAAGGTAAACAAAATACTGTCAAAACAAACCAATACAGGTATAATGGGAACACTGAAATATGATGATAAACACACCACGAATGAAATAGAAACATTGAGTGAGGTAGCAAAAGCTCATTTCCCAAGTTGTTTTACGACAGTAAAGGAACATCTTGACCCCAATACACAGGATCGTGGTACTTGTGCACATATGTGGGGTCTGGCAAGAAGAGTGATTACAAACAGCAGACTTGAATGGGCAGTGAATTCATTCTCTCCTTTCAAATCTGCTGGAACTGACGAGATCTTTCCAGCACTGCTGCAGAAGGGTCTCCCAGAGTTAAGGCCATACCTTCTGGAACTCCTAAGAGGTAGCCTAGCACTAGGATATCTATCATGTAAATGGAGGATATCCAAAGTGTGATACATTCCTAAACCAGGAATCTTACGAAGACCCCAAGGCATTTAGGCCAGTATGTCTGTCATCTTTCATAATGAAGACACTAGAAAAGAGACTGGACAGACATTCGGGAACATATATTGGCTACTAGTCCAATACATTCAAAGCAATATGCCTACCAACCAGGAAAATCCTGTGAGGTGGCGCTTCATAACTTGTTAACAAGAATAGAGAAATCCTTAGAACAGAGTGAAATCATGATAGGTGTCTTCGTTGATATCGAGGGTGCCTTTGATAGAACTCCTTACAACATCATAAATGATGCACTAAGGAAAAAAGACGTAGATGCTATGTCCTCCAGATGGATTGGGAGAATGCTGGAGGACAGAGTTCTAAAATCAGAAATAGGGCACAAGGAACTATGGATTAAACCCTGTGGTGGCTGTCCACAGGGAGGTGTGCTCTCTCCGTTACTGTGGTGCTTTGTGGCTGACTCATTGTTGGAAACCCTAAACACTGCAGGCATTTATGCACAAGGATATGCTGACGATATTGCCATCCTAATAGGAGGAAGGCATCAGAGTGTCCTCTCTGATATCCTCAGTACAGTGTCTAATATTCTTAGGAATTGGTGCAGGATTAATGGACTAAGCATTAACCCTAGGAAAATCAATGTGTGTATCTTCACTAAGAAGAAGGTATTTATCAAAATGCCGGAAATCAATGGTATCCAATTGACACTGAGCAAGGAAGTTAAACACCTTGGAGTCATTTTGGACCATAAACTATCATGGACTAAACACGTTCAAAACATGACAAGTAAAGCCCTCAAATGCCTATGGGCCTGCAAAAGAGCGATAGGAAAGAATTGGGGACTCAAACCAAAAATGGTATACTGGCTGTACACAATGACAGTCAGACCTATCATACTTTACTCAGCTTTGCTATGGTGGCACAAAGCAAAGACTGTAGCCAACTTATCCTCATTAGGAAAGATTCAAAGGCTTGCATGTATAATGATAACAGGCGCGATTAACACAACACCGACGGCCACTATGGAGGTAATGTTGAACATGCCTCCGCTGCAGCTGGAGGTGGAGGCTCGGGCAACAAACACATTATACAGGTTAACCAAGTCAACTTACTGCCCACCAGTCCCCTGCCTAGGAGGACACACAATACTGCTGAATAGGATTGGACGTGAAGGAGTACTAGCTATGCACTCTGACACTCTAATCCGAGAATATTAGGACCGAAAATATAAGGTTGGGTTAGATAGCAGCAGACAAATTGCTACACAGATG